GTTTGGTCTTTATTTATGAGTGTTTGTTTATTTATATATCCTATTTTTGCTTTGCCCTCTTTTAGTTAGCGTTTTGCTTTATGAATCTGGTGAACCTAAGTTGGGTGCATTAGTATATTTAGAATTGTTATTCTGCGTTCTGTTTGAACTGTGCTCTCACCGATTAGTATAATGACCTCTTTCGTTCTTACTACTTTTGTTGGTTGAAAAACTAATGATTGTCTGACAATGGTAGAACTGCACACAGCCTTCTTTTGGCGCTTCGGTATTGCTTGAATATTGATCTCCACCCTTTTATTTTAGTCTATATGCATCTTGCAGGTTAGATGTTTCCTGAAGACAGCATATCACTTGCCTGTATTTTCTTATCCATTCGCCAGCCTATGTGCTCTGCAGTGGAGACGGGTTTAAAGCCATTCAACATTATTGAGAGAACTAATACGTCACGTAGGGTTTAGCTGATCTTTGTCGGTGGATGTGCTTGCTGATGGATTTCTGTCTTGACGCCATTGTAATTCTGGCCTTTAATATCTTTGGGTTTTGTTTTTTATTCCGGGTTTTATTACGAGTTCCGTGTCATAACGCTGTTTTAAGACTTCTGTAGGGCTGGGTCTTGTTTGGAATTCTCTGAGCCTTTGGCTTGTCTGGAGGATGTTTGGTATTTCTCGGACTGCATATTACGAAGCTGTAGTGTTTGCAGGAATAATATTCTAGGCTGGCATTGTTTGTGTTTCAAAGAAGAGTGAGAATGCGGGCCCCAGTCTCTCCTTGCTTGTAGAGTCTCATTAGCAGAAGTGCTTGATGTTATTCGAATGGCTTGTCCCTTGTATCTTACTGTGCCTTCTTTTGTCTTACAGTCTTAGAGAGGCCTTGGTGATATTTGGCTCATCTGATGACTGCATGTGCGTACGCGTCTCCTGTTTGCGTGGAATTCCAGGGGTCTCTGAGCGTTCTTGACTTGTATATCAGATTTGAGCAAGCCTGGCGAAATTTTCCCTCGTTATATCTTCAGAACATCTATGTCCAAACCTTGGAGTGTTTCTTCTTGCCCCTTGCTTGTAACCCTATTGAGCCCCAACATTAGTTTCTTCACCTATCCCACAGCTCTGTAGGCTTTGCTCTTTTTCTGGTTTCTGTTCTCTGCTCTATTTCTTGGACTGATTTATTTATTGGAGTGTGCTTATCTTCAAGCTCCTGCAGATTCTTTCTTCTGTTTCTTCTACCCTGTCTTGAGACTTGTTCGGACTGATTTGTGAGTTCCTGAACTGATTCTTCATTTCCAGATTCGTTAAACTTTCTCATTGTGTCGTATTCTGTTCCCATATCCTGAGACTTATTTGGTTCTTTGTGGTGTTATGAGTTGTCGTGCGCTGGGTGGTGTCTACTATCCACATACGAATCCTCTTCTGTCATATTGGTTGGCCTGATTTGTTGTGTGCCGTTCTATGGGGCTGGTGCTCCTCTTGTGGGTGTGTTTTCGTTGGTTCTTCATATTCCTGAGTCTTTCGCTGATTTCTTCCATGTCGGATCAATGTTGTTTTCTTTCTTTAGGTTATGTTTGGTATCACACAGCTGTTAGTGTTCTGAGGCTTAGTGTGCCTGTGGGTGAAATTGGACCGACGTCCCGTATTGAAGTCAGTGTGCCGTGGGGTGAAGGCTGGCAGAGGATGCCGTCCCTGTCAGTAGGGTGCCGTTTGCTTGAGAAAAGGCGTATACGTTGATTAGTGTCCTGTTAACAGCTCTTGTGCTGGGTGTGAGACTGGTGGGTAAGCCTGCGCCTTAGCTGTTAGCAGGTCAAGTTCTGTTCTCTGCTTCAGGGAAGCTGTCAGGGCGGGGCTGGAATGTTCCCGCTCAGCCAGAAAGTCTGGTGTGGGGTGGGCTATCTGAGACTGCAGTCGGAGCGGACTCGCTTCTTCCACCCCTCCCAACTCCCGCAAGCTACTCCTGGGTCTCGCCAGCAGGCCAGCCAAGCCACCAGCGCTCCCCGGACTGTGCTGCCCACGGGAGGTTCCTTGCACAGAACTCACCTGGTTGGCGCACGCCTCTCTTGGAGGGAGGTTGCCCTCTGCGACGCGCGATCCGCCCCTGAGGCTACAGCACGCCTCAGTAGCTGTTCACGTATAACCCTCCTGTGCCCCAGGCATGCTAGCCTCGTGCAGGGGATCTGGGTCTGCAGGTCCAATCTCTGGGTCGCCAGAGTCAACTTATCCCACCAGGAGAGGATTTCTGGTCCCAATTCACCACCAGGTATCCCAAACTGGGTCTATGTCTCTCAGCCTCGAGTTCGGCACTGTTCTCCTGGGACACGTGACCGCGGCCCTGGGAGGGCGGAGGGTAGGAGCTCACAGTCTGAGTCCCCTGAGTCAGCTGTAGGTCCCAAACGGGAAGGTCCCATTCCCTGGAGTGCTCCGGCTCGGTGGGCGTGTATTTTCTCTTGGGCAGCCGCGGGTAGGGTCGGCGAGCGGGATGGGAGCAATAATGGCGCCTGCTTCGTCGCTGAGGTCTGTGCACACGGAGGTGCCCGGAGGAAGTTGGGAACCTGGTGCCACGTCTGCTACAGGCTCACCGTTGGCAGGTGGCGGCGGTCTCTGGGCTGGTGTCAGCAGGTCTCTCCACCCGCTGGGGAGCCCACCAGCAGTCCCGAATGCAGGGGAGGGTCAACAGCAAATCTACCTTCCCTTGTCGCTGGTTTCCGGGCTGCTCTGGTGGTCTCAGCCTCCAGTTCTCCTTCGCAGCCTCCTCCCGTGGAGTCTCCCGGGGTCTCAGGTACCCCTCCTTCCGGCCCTTGTCCGCTGTATGCTCGTCTTCTTGCTTCTTTCCTCTAATTTCTGCTAGAATCTGTCTTTTCTGCAGAGACACTCTGTCTAGCGGTGTTATTCGTCTGCCATCTTGCTCCGCCCCCTCCCCCCCCCGTATTTTGCTTTTTATTTTAACCTTTTTTCTAAAAGTGAGGGACAATTCTCTCTCAAAGGTTAAAATTCAAATAAAGGAGATCAATCTCTCTTTTTTGAATGTAAATATTTATAGCAGCTTTATTCACAAATGAAAAAACTGGAAACGACCCAAATGCTCGCCCAATGGTGGAATATCTACACAATGGGACGCTATTCATCAGCGTAAGGGAGCTTATTTGTGGAACAACACAGATGAGTCTCACACGCACTGGCCTGAGTGAAAGAAGTCAGATTGAAAGAGTTGTATATTGTATGATTCTGTTTATAGGACATCATAGAAAAGGCAAAACTGGAAGTATCAATCGGATCAGTGGCACTCAGGGCTGGGGCTAGGGAGAGGGGATTTACAACAAAGGAGCATGAGGAAATTTGGAGGATGATTTAAATACTCCATATCTTGATTATTACATGTCTGTATGTGCTTCACAAAATACAACAAAATGTATATCTAGAAAGAAGGAATTTATTGCATTTAAATCATATACTTCAATATACCTCATAGCTAAAAATTTCTGGCTGATTGGACTTTTTACACAAACAGAAAGAGAGATAAAGTAAGAGAAAAAAATACAAGAGAAGAGAGGGGAAGGAAAAGAAAAGAGACTGATGTGATGGAAAAGGGAGAAAGATTTTTAAGATTCCTTGGTAAAATGATGTAATTACTAGTTGACTATAATACAAGTGTGGTGTTTAACTGACTAAAATTGCCAGATACATGTGAAGGACATATTAGAGGAATAAAGGAATGCCCATAAAATTTGAGTGCCCATAAGAAGAGTCTCCAAAATAAGGGCAAATAAAATATATTTAGACTTCCGTTTCCGGTTCCATACAAACTCTCCCGCCACCAGGGAAGAGCGGCTGTCAGCGTTTGCGTTTTCCCGCGTCTGGGTGCTTGCGAGTGACCAAAATGCAGTTTTCTGGAGGAAAAAGGAAGAAGCTGAGATTGGCAGGTGATCAGAGAAATGCTTCCTACCCTCATTGCCTTCAGTTTTACCTGGAACCACCTTCTGAAAACATATCTTTGACAGAGTTTGAAAACTTGGCTATTGATAGAGTTAAATTGCTAAAATCAGTTGAAAATCTTGGTGTAAGCTATGTGAAAGGAACTGAGGAATACCAGAGTAAGTTGGAAGCCGAGATTCGAAGGCTTAAGTTTTCTTACAGAGAAAACTTAGAAGATGAATATGAACCGCGAAGAAAAGATCATATTTCTCATTTTATTTTGCGCCTAGCTTATTGCCAGTCTGAAGATCTTAGACGCTGGTTCATTCAACAAGAAATGGATCTCCTTCGATTTCGATTTGGTATTTTACCCAAGGACAAAATTCAAGATTTCTTAAAAGATAGACATTTGCAGTTTGAGGCTATAAGTGACGACGAGAAGGCTTCCCGAGAAAAGGACATTATTGCTTCATCACCAAGTTTAAATGGGGCTATCTTGGAGTCAGAGTCGGTTTATAAGATCCCTTTTGCTGATGCTCTGGAGTTGTTCCGAGGAAGGAAAGTCTATTTGGAAGCTGGCTTTGCTTACGTACCACTTAAGGATATTGTGGCAATCATCCTGAATGAGTTTAGAGCCAAACTGTCCAAGGCTTTGGCATTAACGGCCAGGTCCTTGCCTACTGTGCAGTCTGATGAAAGACTTCAGCCTCTGCTCAACCGCCTCAGTAATTCCTACACTGGCCAAGATTACAGTACACAGGGAAATGTTGGAAAGATTTCTTTAGATCAGATTGATTCGCTTTCTACCAAATCCTTCCCACCTTGCATGCGTCAGTTACATAAAGCCTTGCGGGAAAATCACCATCTTCGTCACGGAGGCCGAATGCAGTATGGCCTCTTCCTGAAAGGCATTGGTTTAACACTGGAGCAGGCACTGCAGTTCTGGAAGCAAGAATTTATCAGAGGAAAGATGGATCCAGACAAGTTTGATAAAGGTTACTCTTACAACATCCGTCATAGCTTTGGAAAGGAAGGCAAGAGGACAGACTATACACCTTTCAGTTGCCTGAAGATTATTCTAACCAATCCACCAAGCCAAGGGGATTATCACGGGTGCCCATTCCGTCACAGTGATCCAGAGCTGCTGAAGCAGAAGTTGCAGTCGTACAAGATCTCTCCCGGAGGGATAAGCCAGATTTTGGATTTAGTAAAGGGTACACATTACCAGGTAGCCTGTCAGAAATACTTTGAGATGACACATAATGTAGATGATTGTGGCTTTTCTTTGAATCATCCCAATCAGTTCTTTTATGAGAGTCAGCGTATTCTGAGCGGAGGTAAAGACATCAAGAAGGAGGCCGTCCAACCAGAAACCCCTCAACACAAAGCAAATGTCCAGAAAACCAAGGATGCATCATCCGCTCTGGCCTCGTTAAATTCCTCTCTAGACATGGATATGGAGGGACTAGAAGATTACTTCAGCGAATGATTCTTGGGCGGTTTAGGAGCCCCTTTCCTCTCTAGCCTTCATTCCTACTTTTACGATTCTGCCTTTTTCTTTTTTAACTTTGTTCAACTTCTCCCTTCACCTCTCCCCAGTCCCTCCTCATGTACACACACTCACTAGGAAACCATGCGTGCAGGTAAACACAGAACCACGCTATGTTTTGCTTTGGCAAAGGGGAGGAGGAAGAGTTTCTATTAAAATCTGTCATTTGAATGGTGTGATTTAAATCCTGTTTTAGGAGATAAAAACAGCTTTCTGGACTGATTAAAGCCCAAAAATACAGCTAAAACCATTTTTATTTTAACCCTTATCACTTTGTCATTTTGACTCCATCCTTTTGCCCATTTTTGCTAATAAATATCAAAACATCAAAAAATATATATATATATATTTAAAAGTATGTCATCTTAGAGTAACCAAAATAAAAAATGATGCCTCTTCCACTTGCCTATGGCTCTATTATGAACCCTTCCAGACCTGAGGGCATGTGCTTATCTACACAGCTGTCTTAGAATAAAACAGGAATATTCAGGACACTGCCCCTCCTTCCTGCCCCCACCCCAGGAATAATCTCTTAAAAGGAGGGATCTAATAACCTTAGCTCAACCATGTAAAAGCATAGAGGTCTCAAAGTTGTAGACCTGAAGTCCAATAGTCAGTGTTGAAACCTTGGGTAAATCTCTCAAGTTTTTGACATTTCAATTTTCTTGTCTGTAAAAGGAAGATATTGTATAAAATGATATCTACAATAAAACTGAAAATCCAGACAGGTGGTAGGGCAGGCATTAAGCATGAGGAGAGTTCCAGAGCCTGAGTATAACAAGAGGCCAGGGGAGACAGACTAAGAGTGTGACAGAGCTTTACTCTTAAGAAAGGTTGGGTATCTATCTAGCAAGCTAAAAAGACAGGTGGCATCCAGGAAGGGAATACGGTCACTAAAGTAAAGTTAGTGGAGATTGAGCCTCCTGAACAAGGGAAAATTTCAGTTTGCAGAACTGGAGCTTATGAACAAGGCTGCTTTTGCTGGAAGGATGGATGTGCTGAGTGTAGAGCCAATGTTCCTTAAAGCACAGAGCTCCTTCCAGCATGCCCGTCCTAAATCCTACCTTGGCGATTGGGATTAGGAGAGCCTGGTCCAAGAAGGGGGCAAGGGAGTCTGTAGGAATGTGAGAAAAGAAGCTGGGGGTTTTAAGACATTAAGACTTTCTCTGAAAGTAACCAACAGAAGAATGAAGATCTCATTAGCACTTTTGCAGAACCAGAAAACATTGTCTTAGATAGTTTTTATGGCTGTCAGCCCAGAAACCTCCCTGTAAACCATTTGGAAAATTGTGTTTGTCAACAGAAAATTAAAATGCCTTTAATGGTAGTTGCTTAAATGTCATCTCTTGTTTTCACCACAGTCTCCTTTCTGGGGGAGAAATCTTCAAATTTGTCATTATTATTCTCTCTTAGAAGTGGCTCGAGGCAGTTGTTGTAGGAAACACAAACCAAAATACAACAATCAACTTCCGAATAGGATGCCAGTGTTGTGTATGGAAGCAGCATGCAAGCCACAAAGGGAGGAGTGTAGCAGCAGATTTGTCAGGTCGCCAATAAAACACAATGTCTAAATTCCCATAACTGCATCTGCCTTTAGAATATTTCATGTTTTCCAAATCAGACCTGGGGGGTTCTGGAGTGATAAACAATGACACCCTAAGTAGCAAAGTATTAATTAATCAGTGCTACTTTGAAATTTGTAACTGAAAATTAATCAGGTGGCCCTATTCAGGGGAAGAACATAATTATGTGATAATGTTGTTCATTTTACACATGGAAAAATCCCAGAGCAGTTAGGGGTCCTATTAAGTCATTTGTATTTTTCAACTATTTATTTAGATCCCACTTTTCTGGACTTGATTTGTATGCCGTTGCTTTCTATGTGAGTTAATCTCTACATCCCTCTGCTTAGTTTCAATACAATATAGTGTAGTAAAAAGAACTTTGGATTTTTGTCTCATGTTTCCCACGTATTTGCAGAGAGTTATGGAGTCAGTCATTTAAGCTTTCAGAGATTCTCTCCGTAAGGATAATCATACCCATTTCACGATCTTGTCATGAGAAGGGAACCCAGGGAACCTCTGTGCAAGGTCGGGTAGTAGCAAATGTTAGCTTCGTTTCATGGTCTACAACCGGCCCCACCCTACTAACCATGTTTCCTGCTCCTAAACCTACAACCTTCACTCTAGCCAGGCAAATCTCCTTTAAGTTCCTGTCATGCTAATTCTCACTTCCTGCGTTGGGTTATGTTACTGTGGCCCCACCCCTTTGTCTAATTTCTACTCATCTTTCATCTGCAAGGCAAACATGTAAGTTTCAACAAAATGGAAGTGAGTCATGTTGTTTTATTTTACTCCTACATCTAATATCTTTTCTTGGCTACATACTCAGGTAGACAGCCATTCCTTAACTTCAAGAGATCATGGAAACTGCATAATATAGACTTCCTGAAGTTCATCTTGGTAACATTTATTTTAAAGTTCTACAAATATTTATTAATTGCCTACTATGCAGAGGATATAAAGCTGAAAAAGAATCAATTTCTTTTCTCCTAAGCCTATTATTCCCTTAGAAAGAAATGTGAATGATACTGTGTGTTTTATTTTTCACTCAGCTAGTAATTATGAAGTAGCTTGTGTTTTTATATTTGGCGAAATTGAGGCCATAGTTAACCCTTTGCTTGTATTTCCTGGATAGTTGAATGGGATTATGGAATTAACACTTTAAATAATATGTGTATGATGATTTTTAAACAATATGCTATAGTGTTCCATCGAGGACATTTAAAATTCAAAATTGGGACAAAAACAAACTGAACAATTTTTTTAAAGTTTCAAACAGATTATGGATTGGTAATTGATTCATTAGGAGTTAAACAAAAGGCTTAGCGGTACAGTGATGTAACCAGAACATTCTCAAGAGGTGAGTTACATTTATCCGTCAAATGAAAAGTATGTGTTTAAGTACTAGAATACATGTCAATCCATGTGATTCTTTGTCTTCAGTCAATGGAAAGTAAATCTGTATTAACTATGTTGAATGCATTATGTCAGCTTTATTCGCAGCGTTAATATTTGAACTCAGAACCACTACCATGATTCATTATTTCTGGCCTAGAAGCTTAGTCTGTACTCTTCTAGAACATTCTCCTTATACACCATTGATTTTCCTGTCTCATAGACTGAAACTTATTAACTTGTTTCTTATGCTCACTAAGAAAATCTTATTTCTTAGAAAATATAGAGAAAGCAAAGATGTGCTTCCTGGCAACGTTTAGTGTGGGCTGTTGTGGTAAGGAATTTTTATTGTTTTTTTTTTTTTTTTTTTTTAGGTAAAAGAGAGGTATGCTTTTCTTCTGTGAGAAGGTTACTTTGGAATGATGATCTTAGGCCCTTGAAGTTGCCCATCTATCTGAGAACCTGCTGAGCATGATTACAAATCATGAGTTGGACTTAGGTTTTTCCCAAGCTGGCTGCAGAGACAACTTGTCTAGGCTTCCAGAGAACAGCCACAGCCCACAGAGAATGTGTGTTTACCCAGACCTTTTCCATGGTTTACTTCTGAAAATTGGTTCAACCACATGGGAATCTAGTTAGACTCTTGGAATTATAATCTTTGACTGGTACATAACCCAAACATTTTTTATAGGATTTAGAAATCAGATTGGAGCTTAGAAAATGAAAGAAGAACAGTAAGAGTTCAAATCCAAACCTCTTTGAGGTCCACCTGAAATCTACCTTGTCAGGCATACGTTCCCACTACCAAATCATCCATCTTTACTAGAGGTAATAGCAGGAAGCAGAATTGTAGTGAGACACGGTGAAAGATAATTTCAATCCTCATACAGCCCACTTGGGAGGTAAAAGAATATAAAAATTTCCTTTGTGTGTGACCTCCTATTAAATTAGGCATATTCTACCCAGGTGCTTAGGAGGATAGATATTTCTTGCATATAGTTGATTTTATACCATACTCCTGTAGTATTTCATCTGTGAACGAAGATTAGTGCTACGGGCGATAAATTGAAGTGTAGGTTGATACATAAACACTATCTTTAGGAATCTGCTATTATATCTGAATTTCTAAGTACACAAAGGGAATAATTAAGACTGATGCTTTATTTGAAAATGCATTGTTTTTCTTGTTAAGAATAAACCATAGTAACTGATAGAAAGAAAAAGCTTACCCATAGTAGAAAGCCAGAAAAAAACTTGCTATGCAATGAAGAACTTACCGTTTCTAGTTCTAACATTCGGTAGCTGAAAGCGGATCATTGCTATAAAGAAGTATTTACCAATTTTAAAAGGTCTTGGCCCATCATAGCTAGTGTTAGATTTGGAATATAGCTTTTGTTGCCAAGGTGACAAACACTTATAAATATAACACATCTTCTAATGTGCTTTTAACTTGGTATTTTTATGGCTTTTAAATCAGATACCATTAGCAAATATATTAGGTAATTTAGCTGAAAGACCATTTTCCTCTAACACTTTTTGTTACATTTCCCCAGGTATTTCAGTAAATGTCTGTTGTGACATTCTGCTCCTGCTAGGCTTCCAACGTAAGGGGATACATAAAGTACATCTGGTAAAGATTAACATATATTACTTTGCCTTTTTTGTATTGATCACTGAAAAATGTATAAAAGAGAGTTAAATTTGTAGTCTCCTTGAAGAGCAATCATTGTTCCTATTGTTATTTTAGGGTCTATACCTCCTCCCCCAAATAATAGTCTGGCTTTAAGATTCAATACACAGAGGAAAGGGTTTTGAGGGCAGCATAATAACTATACATTAACAGTCTCCCAAACCACCACACCTAAATGCTTTCCCTTATATGTGTGTGTGTGCATGCGTGTGTGTGCATATATTAATATATATACACACATGGATATATAAAAAAGACTATAAAGAAAATAATTATAATAGACCATCTGGAGCCCTAGTATTTCCACAAGTCTAAGTTTATAGTTCTAAACAAAAAACCCAAAGCACAGTCAGGGAAGAAATCAGCTCTAAATGTATTCACTGGATTCTTAAAAGAAGGCTTGTGAGGTGGACATATTTGTCGCCTCACAAAGATAAAATCAGATGAGACATATTTAGTTTAAATCCAAGTTTGTACTCATTGTATGGAAATTCTTCTTAGAAGACTGTCCAAAAATTCATTCATTCTTTTATCTTTTATTCATTCAACCAACAGAATTTCAGAAGCATCAACTATGTTCCAAGCACTGGAGATACAAAGATGAGCAAGTCTTGGCCCTCAAGAAGGACAGAATATCAGGAAAGAGGCAGGCAAATCAATGAAGTATTACAAAAGGATGATAAACGCTGAGTCTGCACACAAAAGACAGGGTCAGAGAAGAGTCCCTAAAGAGGAAAGACTCTGATAATTGTTTTTAAAGAATCAAGATGGAAAAGAAGGATGTATATTTTATTTAAACAGCAAAATTCTTGAGAGTCGGTGTTTTGTATAATCAATCTAGAATTGCTGTGTCCTTACTGTGTGATCTTGAATGCTGCTCTGTGCCTCAGTGACCCTCCTATCTAATGTGGGTAATCATCCTTGCTGCCCGCATGGCCCACGGAGAACTACAGATAGGAATACTGGGATGCGGGTGGTGTAGCCATTTAAATTCTTTGGATAAGAGCGACACTATGCAAACACACAGCATCCTTATTATTCCAAGCGGTAGCATTTTGGATAATCACCGTATAATGCTGCACCTCTGTGTGTGTGGCTTGTTTCTTTATAGAAAGGCAAGTGCTAATGTTGAGTTTCTCTAATAACTTTGGAAGCAATTTTAATCCAGCAGACAAAAAAAGAATAATCTTTAGAGTAAGTTAAATCCCTTTGTATTTGAGTAGATTTTGTTATTTACCAAGGTCTTAGGCAATTTCACCACAATTATGAAAAGTAGTGCCCAGCAAGCACGGCTCTCTCAGCGAATATCTGAAAGACACTATTGCAGACAGGCCGCAGCTTCTTCCCAACAGACACAACTCGTGTGTGTGTGTGTGTGTGTGTGTGTGTGTGTGTGTGTGTGTGTGTCTGGGGCTTGCCAGAAAGAGCTGGGAACAAGCTGAGACTGGCTAGCATACCTGAGGCAGCTGTTACACTGTGGCGCCTGGATTCTTCTCTCAGACTCCAGGCTGGCTCTCCTCCTCCTCCTCCTCCTCCGCCTCCTTTCATAGTCTCTCCAACTTTATCTCTCTCTCTCTCATTGTCTTTCTTCTTCCTCCTTGTGACTTGGTGGGAGATTCCTATGGCCTGAGACCTGGCCTGGCCCTGCCGCCAGACATTCTGGGGCTTTCTGGCTGGGGGAAGAACCCACACTGATGGAAGAGTGAAGTCCCAGAGAAAAACAACCCTTAGCATTCTTATCTGTTTCATCTTTCCCTTTTTACATTCATTCTCATTCTCTCTGTCTCTCTGACTTTGGTTTCTGTGCTGGAGATTAGCCATGAATTGGTGTGGCAGCCAGGGAGAGGGACAGTTCAAGGCAGATCTACTCTTGGGTCCTGAACCTTGCTTTGGGCTTTACCAACAAGACACCGTCAATCAACTTGAGCTGGGAGTTGCCAACGCAGTCCAGCCATTCAGGGACAAAAGCAGCAGCCTGTTTGAGGAGCCTGTAGGAACCCCTCCTGTCCCCTCGGAAGTCACGCTGCTCAGAAGGCTTCTTCCTCCAGGGGATGCCAAGGAGCAGGGAGGTCACCTAGCAAATGGCTGGAAGGATTTCAGAAAAATTACACAAAGAGAAATCTTACTTTTTCCTTTTAATCTGGCCTTTCACAGTTTGAGATAGTTTTCCATAGGCTGCCATTGGAATTGGATGTAATTGGTATAGCGAACCGGGATGAAATTTTCCCAAGATGAAAAAATGCCAGTGTCAAACCAGCATGGGAAAAGCAAAGAACCCTAGACCCCTGGAGGCTCGAGTGCCCTCGACAAGGGGAAAAGGTATGCATTGCCAGTGGAAAGGCCAATGATATTAATCCTAAGAGATGGTCTCTGGTTTCATTTCACGGACGCGGGACCCACTGACAGAAAAGAGCAATTACCTATAGTCATTTGTTTTTTAATTTGACAAAGATCCCAATCATGGCGGATTAGGTACACTTAATATCTCAATTAATAAGCCTTCTACAATAGTAACATGTCAACTTTGGTTCAAGAAATCCACTCCGGTTGATAGCCATCCAGGAAACGTCTTTCATGCTCACATATTAAATTTAATCTGCCACCCCTGTTTTATAAGACTTTGTATTCACCTGTTGAAGAAAAGATGCTTATTTTATCATTCCAATTTAACAGCTTGCTTAGCAAAGTTGATAGGTAGGAGTTTAGATGATATTCATTGAATGCCTATTTTGTATATTTACAAAAGAGGTAGGTTTAAGGGAGTTACCCAGAAGCAATATGTGTTTTTTTGGGTTTTTTTGTCCCACTGTTATCCTATTGGTCTTCCTTTCATTCAGCAGATTTATCTGTCATGAAGAATTTAAGTTTCATATTTTCCTCTGTCAGTCGTGAAAAGGCCTGTCAGCTGGGGCTTACACTACAGTTTGCCAGAAGGCCTATAGCACACAATGACAATACAATCTTATATTTGTGCTCCCAGTCTCCAGATAATCCCCCACTTTCCTCCTCTGCAGCCCAGTTATGATCAGGCTTAAGTTGCATATTCTGTTTTGAGCCAGATTTTGCTGATAAATGCTATCAGCGAGACTGAAATGAAATACAGCAGGTTTAGCTCTTATTACCAGCATCGAACATGCCTTGAGAGTTTTGTGTGTGCTATGGAGACAGGGTTGTATAAAACCATTTAATTCACAGAAACTATATAAAGGAATGTTAATGGTTTTTATCTGTTGAATGTTCCCAGGTCCTTTATTCATATACCTGAAAACACAGACCTTTGATTAACATTCTGTGGGGCTGTACCTGAGATACCAGGCCATTTCCGGTGTGGACATCATTTTGAGAGAAAACTATACAAAGTCTTAACAATATTTATCATACCCTGCAACATAAGACACTTTGTTTTTGCCATTTTTATCCTGAGTTCACACATATACCTAATCTCAGAAAGATTTACATTTCCCATACCCCTACAGAAACCACCACGGTCTCATTAAATAGAAACCATATAATAGTCAGAGGCCTGCAAACCATTCTTTTTATAACTTACTGGGTCTGCACAAAATGTGAAGGACTGGTACATTAGAAAAATGTCTCATTGCCTCAGCCAAGGAGAGGGAAGGGTTAATCATCATTCCTAGAACTCTGGAGTGGAACAAAAGCTTGCAGCCTGACACCAAAATAACATCACAATGAAAAGTGAAATTGCTTCTCAGGCTAAATTGCTTCATTTGAAAATTGTAGTGATACTGAGAACAATTATGTCACTTAAACTTTCACAATTTTGTTTTTATAAATCAGTTATAAAACTATCATGTGGTTTAAATGCAATTATTTAATAAGGGCATTTGTAATTGTCCAACATAATCAATTATGCTTCAATCAGGCTTTTCTCTGAGACTATATTTTTGTTAGCGTCTAAGTCTTTCTTATGGTAATACATACTTTTTGAAAAAGCCAAATAAAATCATTGTTTTCCAGAAAAATTCTTTCCCCTCCTCTGATTGTAAAGCATTTCCCACACTGCAAACTGAATCTCAGAATTCTTTGTGGTTTTTTTTCCCCCCTTGGCTTAGAAACTAAACATCTACTCAAAGCATGAGAAGAGAAAACATATTGCTAAATAACAGGGAAGTGAAAGTTGGTTCTTCAAGAGTCATGATAGTGTTGTCAAGTGTGTTTTCCGAGCTGAGACAGGGGCCAGAGCCCAGAGAGCGAGGAGTGGTGCCTGTGAGTTACCCAGCAGGGGCCACGACAATGTTGGTACCACAAGTCACAGATCATGACTGATTTTCTAAGAAGGAGGAGGATTAATTATGGGCTGAGTCTAGGGGCACTTTGGCCTCCCCGAGACTATAGGATTTTAGTTGCTGTGTTGTGCAATTTGTGGGCTATTTGGTCCACTTTGGACAGCCTAGAGAGCTATGTTTTCCTTCCACACTTCAACTGAAGTCTCTGCTAATGCCTTCCCCCTGTGTTCTGCTTGGTTCATCCTGGCCTCTGATCTCCAGGCCCACTTGCATGACCAAGAGGCTTCTCATGGAGCCAGGTGCTCAGCCTCTCTTTCCTCTCTCTCTTTCGTTGACAGACTCTCCCTCACCTTGAATTCTCTTTCATGTTTTCTTTTTCTCTAAAGACTCTCACTATTTCCCTCTCCTCTTCCTTCAACCCTCTTCTCTCTGCTATACATCCTGCTGTAAAAGGAGCTGCTCCTACTTAAAAGTATTTCCTCATGTCAGATCACTCTTTGGAGGAATTCATGAGTCCTGATGGTGATTGCAAGATGTTTAGCTTCAGCCACGTGGATTCCACATAAACTGGAGCAGGGATCCCAGCAAAGTCATCACCATACAGGAGCCAGTGAGTTTGTTGTTTCGAAATCTAAATCTGATAGTGTATCTTCCCAGCTTAAGACCAGTTCATGGCATTCCCTTATTTTAGGGTAAAAGTCAAATGTCCTGTGTACTCTGTCCCATTTAGTTCTTGAGTTTTTCTTATATTTTCTTTCCCTTCCTTCTTTGTTCCAGCAGCATTCGACTTCTCTCTAAATTGTCTACTTTCTCCTCCAGCCCAGGGCCTTCACACCTGCTGTTCCCTTTGATTTTGATACTTTTCCACCCCAATCCCAGTCCAAACCCCACATTTCTTACCAGGCTAACTCTTACTCATTTCTCTTCTTTCAGACCAAGCTCCACTACAGGAAAACCAACTCTGATCCCCTGAACCAAGTAGGTCTCCCTGCCATTATAGAATGATGGACCTTTCCTTTAAATTGATTATTCCACTTCTAATGTTATATTTATCTGTGCTATTATTTGATTATTATCTCATTCCAGTGGCCCTTCCTTGAGAATAGGGATATGATCTTGGCTTTTTCTGGTATCTCTGTACTCAACAGACACTGAGTTTATTTCTGTTGAATGAATGAATTCTTTGGAGTTCATAGAAGTTTTGTGCCAAACAATAAGGAAAGCAAATTTCCTAAACCTGGGTCAAGCAGTAAGGTTTTGAGAGCACCCTCATGTGTTCACAGAGAAATATACAGTGACAAATTAAAAACAGCATAACCTTGAGCAGAAGAACAAATAAATAAATTGTGCTATGTTCATAAAACATAATGCTGTGCAGCAGTTAAAATTAATTAATTAGTGCCATATGTGTCTACCTGGTTAAATCCTCAAAGCATATACATAAAAAAGTGGTCATAATAAAAAATATAGGTGTTGGTTTATTTTGCCTAGAGTCCATGTAAGGAGTAGTCAGAAACACAACAGTGGTAACACAAGTAAATATAAAGACTGGGAATGAAATTTAGGAAGTGTGGGAAGATGAGGTCTTCAAAGTTCTTTCCTTCCTTTCCATGTCATTCCCTAGCCAGATTACAGTAGGAGATGTGTAATCAATCCCTGTTCTTTTTTTTGGCCACATTTCTAGTGTTTATTTCTGGGGCAGTTCTTAATTGTACTTGGGAACAAATGTATTTCCAAAGGGTAAAGATTAGAGAATCATTTATAAATGGAAAAAGTAAAAGGAAATAAACTAGAGAATAGTAACAATAT